GCAAGGCTTTCCTTCGTTTAAATTTAGATAAATGTATTTTTGGTCAATCTGAAGTGGAATTTTTGGGATATTCAATTGATGAGAAAGGTATCAAACCTCTTCCTGATAGAGTTAGGGCGATTCTCGATTTTCCCAAACCTCGTAACGTTATCGAAATGAGACGATTTTTGGGCCTAATAAACTTTTACCGGAAGTGTTTACCTCGAGCAGCCGATTATCAGGGAGCCTTGACAATTAAGACAATTGTCTTATATATCTCAGTTTACAACTTCCTTAGAATACTTACCTGGAAACGAAAATGTGGTTGCGGATTGTCTTTCCCGCGTTGACCTTATACGTCTGGCATCGGATGTAAGCCTATTGGAATTGTCAGAAGCGCAGAATGATGATTCAGAACTTAAAATTCTTTTAGAGGACAATTTCACCTGTCTCAACTTAAGACGTATTCTGTGGGGTCCTGATCACACCCCAATAGTTTGCGACTTATCAGGAGAAGTTCTGCGCCCTTATATTCCCAAGGTATTTCGAAGACGTATATTTGACATTTTCCATGGTCCAGCGCATCCGAGCGCCAAAGTATCAGGGAAAAATATAGGAAAGAGTTATATTTGGCCAGGAATGAACAAGAACATTCGAGAGTGGTGTAGGGAGTGTCTTCCTTGTCAGAAATCGAAAATATCTCGACACAATATCCTGTTGCCGTCACAATTCGTGGCCCCTGAAGATAGATTCCGCCATGTCCACATCGACATCGTTGGACCAATGGCTTCCTGTGATGGTTTTAGATATTGCCTCACAATAATTGATCGTTTCTCGCGTTGGATCGAGGCGATTCCGTTGAGGAATATAGAGGCACTAACCGTGTATCGCGCGTTTGTGGATGGATGGATTACTCGTTTTGGAACTCCTGAAACCCTTACCACAGATCAGGGTAGCCAATTCGAGTCAACCATTTTCAAATCATTACTTCATCTTTCTGGATGTAAGCGTATTCGAACTACAGCCTATCACCCCGCGGCAAACGGTTTAATTGAACGATGTCATCGCACCCTAAAGGCTGCCATAATGTGCCATGGTAACGAAAAATGGACTCACGTATTGTCGACTGTATTACTTGGATTGAGAACAAACGTTCTTGATTCGGGGGCATCACCCGCCGAATACCTGTATGGAACTACTTTGAAGATTCCAGGAGAGTTCGTTCTCCCCGAGGAATTTAATCCTGACCCGCAGATATTCCTTGAAGAATTTCGTGAACACATTAAACTCATTAAACCAATTCCTGTAGAGCACAGACATAAAAGGAAGATTTTCGTTTATAAAAATTTAAATTCATGTTCACACGTTTTTCTCAAACGCAACGGTGTTAGGAAATCTTTAGAATCACCATACTCGGGACCACATAAGGTAATTAAAAGAGTAAATGATAGGATTTTTGACATTGACGTTAACGGTATTAAAAAATCGGTTTCCGTAGAAAACATCAAACCGGCATTCTTTGCCCGGGAGGATTTGAATTTATCGAATGACTGTAGTAAGAGTATTGCGTCTGATGTTCCTTCGAACGATATTGTAATTCTTCCAACAAATAATATTATACCTTCGAACGACAATTCTAAACCAATTGGAAAAACAAATAATATTGTACCTTCGAACGATAATTCTAAACCAATTGGAAAAACTAATAATATTGTATCTTCGAACGACAATTCTAACCCAATTGGAAAAACTAACAATATTGCAATTCCTAAAATTAAAACATACAGCAATAAGAAAAAGAAGGTCACATTTAATTTTACTCATAAATTAGATCATAATTATTCTAGTATACGTTAGTTGGAATTAAGAAAATCACGTGATATTAGATAAATCAAATTATTTTTTTTTTACTATATATTTTATATATAATGTATTTTCTTTAAATAAAAAAAAAACGTATCGTTAAACACTCGGGGGAGAGTATGTGGGGAATAGCAGGCTTGTTGCTTCCCCTCTTCCGCTGATCTCCCTCCATGCGTAGAGTGGGATAGGACGAATGATAGTTAGTTCATATAGAGTCTCGAGACTGACACGACAAATGTATTACAATTATATTATTATATAGAAGATAGAATTTAGTGGAGTGATAATAAATTATCTTGTTATATTATTAAATAATGATTATTTAATATTATCCCGAACACAATAATGGGAATGATAAATAATTATTTATTGTATTAAATATTTCCCACAACAATACAGTGCGAGCATGTTTTCTTCCAAGCTTTTGCTTTGAAAGAAAATAAAAAGTGAATTTTAAAATGCAGAATAAAGTTATACAAATAATTATTGATTTCATAATTGTTTCTCGTCCAAAATTACGGACATGATTGCAGATTTTTTGTTACACTCATCGAGAACTTTTTATTATCATATGCGATCGGTAATGTAGTAACTCATTAGTTTTCACAGGTTTTCACAACACTATTCACATTTGATAAAAACTTAATTATTATTTAATAATTCGTATTGCAAACACTCAAATTAAATCAATTTTACACTTTTTTATAAATATCAGTTGTTTTTGCCGTTAATTTATATTCTTTTCATGAAAATAGCACGAAAATAATTGTACAGCTGAACTGATCAGGTACCTCGCGCACATTTCCATTCATTATTAATTATTTAATTCTTTATTAATTACAAATTTTGTACGAATTTACTCTATAAACATTCATTTACCCTTTTATCAACTTTTTTTTATCATAATAAGTCGATTAATAGCTTTTCTATACGTTTTTTACATGTTTACCTAATGTCTACCTAAAGTCCACTTAGTTAAGTAGACATTACGCAAATCGAATCCGCCAGGGTCCGTTTAACTAAAAGAACAACATAAAATTTATAACCATCAATTCGCCACATGGCCATGATCGTGTTCTGTCCTGTTTACTAAATCATATTCATAATATGATTCAAGTCATTACACTAACGAAATAGTTGTCCATTTAATCTTTTAATTCATTTTTTAATTAAAATTTAGAATAATATATTATTAATATATTATAAATTAACAACTTTAACAGTTTTTAATTTTAAAAATCATTGAGATATATGAAAAATATATTCACTCCCCACGTGGAAATAATTATTTCCGCTTTAAATAGTCCTAATTAATTAGTTAGAGTAGGGTGGGGTGAAAAAGCCACTTTTGAGTTTGTTGCTTCATAAAATCCGTAATTTTTAATATTTTTTCAAACTATAAAATAGCTTTGAAAGTGTAGCTTTTTAGCTACAAAATCGTTGTTGAAAATTGTTTGTAGCTAATGAGAAAACTGAGCTCTACGTATTTTAAAAAAGCACTACAAGTGGCTTTTTTATACCACCTAGTAGAGTGAACAAACCAGTTTGCAACTTAGGCAAAAAATGTTACTCATTTTAATTTTTTTATGTTTTTTTCTTTTTTTTTAATAAAAAATAGTATTATTATTTGCATCTTTTATAATTAATTAGCTCTTTTTATACACTTGGAGCAATACAAAAAATTATTTACCTGGTCACTTTGTCCAGTACAAATTTACAACGCTTTTTCCTCGTCCAAACGAAATTCCGCGACGAATTTCATATTTTTTTGGGGGTAAAAGTAAACTTTTTTTTAATAAAAAATCTTCTCCGCACTAAATTTTATTTTGTAGTTTTTTATTTCTGTTTAAATAAATACAATTTTTTTTGAATAAAAAAAGGTTAAAATGAATACGAGACAAATAAACATCTTTTGCTTTTTTATGTGTATCAGATGCATGGCTTTTAACCCTCCGCGACTATTTTTACAAAAAACTATAATAATCTCCAAACCAAGACAAATTAAAAAAATAAATAACACATACGTGTTCAATACACTTTTCTCTCACTGTACAAACATTTAGTTTTATTTTCTCTCCATAAGGACTAATAATAATAATAATATATTCGATAAGTTGACCGAAATTTCGTGTGCAAAGTAGTTCAAAACTAAATTTTACAATACAAACTATAATTTTGAAGATAAAACAGTCAAATTAGGATTAAAAGTTGCGTTTTATCTAATAGATTTTATATTCTAAATGGCTAATGAAACGGTGGAATATTTTTAGTATAGAACCCAAATGGCTTTTTTCCCCATGGCATTTTTACCCCACTCTACATTATTTATTTTTTTGTTTTGTAGTAAAGCTCAAACTATTTACAAAATAAATTTTATTTTTTGAAATATCTTCAGAATTTTCACAGTTAATCTAATATTTCAATATTTAGAAGTTGAAGTCAGCAACGTCTATCATAAACGATTTTTAAAAAAATTTTATTTTTTAAGAGGAAAGTAGTGAAATAATAAGTAGTGAATAAAATTTAATTTACCCTGCAGAAGCTTTGTGATTTGAAGAACACGATTTTTTATATGCCCTTGGTTTAGGATAAGATAGAAGCAACCGTGAATTTATGTTCGTTAAGTAATTACAACTGAAGGAAAAAATTCTCTGCAGGCCTTGGATTGTAAAATTTTTTCAAGTTTTTTAGAACTACTTTAATAAATGTAAAATTAAATTTAATTCTGCTTTATAGTATACCATTATAGTGATTGACTTACATTTTAAATGATAAAGCAGGAAATACAAAAAATTTTCAAATAAATGTTTACAATTTTTCTATTTCAAAAATTGATTTAAATTATACTCCCCAAAACTTTCCGGAAATTAACTTTTGATAAGTTTTAATAAAACGAATTTCAGAAGTTTATAACGATTTCAAGTATAAAATTTTATTGAAAATTAGAAATTAACTTGAAATAAATAAATAAATCAGATTAAAAAATTTTTTCATCATCCAAAACAATTTATTTCGAAATAATAAAATTGTCTTGAATCAAAAAAATTATAAAATCCAATAAGGACATTTACTTGATTAACTTGAATCGATAGTACTTGCTTCTATTACATACGTGTATGTCAATATAACAGTAATGTTTCAATTATTATGTATTTAATGTTTTAACAGAGGTTACGCGATGCATGAAATTCAACCAGCCTTTGCAATAATAGAATTCGACGATGGAGTTTCCATGATAAGAAGAAGTTGGGCTTCTTTTAACGTAAAAGGGAAAATTGACTCAAGTTATTATCCTCCTCCTAAATTGTCAAATGATTTGAAAAAGCTTCTGCGCAATGAAGATGAGTTTACTCCAACCGAAGACTGGTGCAACGACGAAAAAAAACCGTATAAGGTTAAGAGACACATTTGCAATGCAAGTAAGTAAACTTTAATTTTCAATAAGAGACAGATTATAAAAAAAATTAAATTACATTTAAATTAATTGCCGAATATTTTATGTATGCAGTTAAAAATGAAAATTTAAACTTTTTAAATACTTTTTACAACTTGATTAAAGCGCAGTTTTTTTACCCACGAATCCTTAAATGGAGGGGAAATCGTACTCTTCCGCAGAGTTGTTCCCTCCCCAACAGCACTTTAGTCGAGTTTTTTACATAAAATGTTATTATAAATTACACAGCCCCACAAAAAAAAAAGTGTCGTGCGCGGCAGACCAGACTAGTCATTTCCTATGTATTTTGACGCGCTGAACACGAATCCGAAGTCCGTTTTGCTCCATCACGTCAGGATTTTTTTCTAACCTCCAAAAACCTGTCGGATTTTGAGAGATAGGCTATTTTTTTTAAAATTGATGGATTTACTTCTAACTTGGTATCTAGGGGTTTTTTGGGTCGCTGATGACGAATTTGAAGTTAGATTTTCAAAATTCAAAATGGCAGCTCCAATATGGCGGACGAATTTTGTAAAAATTGATGGATTTACTTCAAACTTTGTATCTAGGGGTTTTTTGGGTCGCTGATTACGAATCTAAAGTTAGATTTTCAAAATTTAAAATAGCGGCTCCAATATGGCGGACGATATCGACCCTTCAAAGGTGATAATTCCGCCCTTACACACGAAACTAGGAGCAATTAAACAGTTTGTCAAAGCCTTAGATAAAAAAGGAAACTGTTTCAAATACCTGGAACAAAAGTTTCCAGAAATCTCTGATGCGAAACTAAAAGAAGGGGTTTTCGACGGTGCACGTATTCGCAAATTGTTAAAAGATGAGCAGTTTATCACCAAGATGAATAAAAAGGAGAAAGCCGCATGGCTTAGTTTTAAAGCAGTTGTCGAAAATATTCTGGGTAATCACAAGAGTGAAAATTGGGAGCAAATAGTTAGTGATATGATTAAAAACTTTGGTAAGTTAGGATGCTTAATGAGCATAAAGTTGCATTACTTAGACTCGCATCGGGATCAATTCCCTGAAAATTTGGGAGATTACAGTGAAGAACAAGGAGAACGATTCCATCAAGATCTGAAAGAATTTGAGCGTCGTTATCAAGGAAGATGGGATGTAAATATGATGGCCGACTACTGTTGGATGCTGAAAAGGGATATTGTACCTGGAGGCACCAATTTAAAAAGAAAACCATTACACAGATCCTTTGAGGACAAAAGAGTGCGCTACCATAAAAAGACGTGAATACCTTACTTATGTATATAAGAATTTCCATAGTTTTGAAAATCTAACTTCAGATTCGTAATCAGCGACCCAAAAAACCCCTAGATACCAAGTTTGAAGTAAATCCATCAATTTTTACAAAATTCGTCCGCCATATTGGAGCCGCCATTTTAAATTTTGAAAATCAAACTTTAGATTCGTAATCAGCGACCCAAAAAACCCCTAGATACCAAGTTTGAAGTAAATCCATCAATTTTTACAAAATTCGTCCGCCATATTGGAGCCGCCATTTTAAATTTTGAAAATCAAACTTTAGATTCGTAATCAGCGACCCAAAAAACCCCTAGATACAAAGTTTGAAGTAAATCCATCAATTTTTACAAAATTCGTCCGCCATATTGGAGACGCCATTTTGAATTTTGAAAATCTAACTTCAAATTCGTCATCAGCGACCCAAAAAACCCCTAGATACCAAGTTTGAAGTAAATCCATCAATTTTAAAAAAATAGCCTACCTCTCAAAATCCGACAGGTTTTTGGAGGTTAGAATAAAATCCTGACGTGATGCAGCAAAACGGACTTCGGATTCGTGTTCAGCGCGTCAAAATACATAGGAAATGACTAGTCTGGTCTGCCGCGCACGACACTTTTTTTTGTGGGGCTGTGTTATGTGTAAAAATGATGACCCTCGTGCGTCAAACTCGCATTAGCCTCGATTCTCTTACTTTCGCGCTCTTTTCAAACTAATAACTATTTTATGGTTTTTCAATGCCAATTTTTAACAGTTTTTTCATGATTTTTTAAAATTAATCTTATGGATTTTAAAGATTTAAATTCTTTGAGCAATCAAATTCTGTGTTAAAGACGGATGTTGATTAACAAAAAAATAAATAAAGTAAAATAAATTTTGAAGAAAAATAATAAGTTAGAAACTACACTAATCTTTATTATTAACAACCCGCTTATTCGGTAAGCGTAATTGCTCTTCGCTACACAAGATAGAAAAAGGTAGTGGACAGTCGCTTAGAGTGTTATCTATTCAACACCCCCGGGTAGACGGTATTTTGTCGAAAATATTCACAAAGAAAGAAATGAGATAACACAAATAAAGGTGATTAAATAAATTGAGAATTGAATTGACATAAAATAAGGTAACATTTATTCATACAACCCCCAAAAGAAAATACATTCAAAACCCCAATTGATCTTTAATAAAAATGTTTACAATGGAAAATACTGCTACGTTAAGCTACTTGAATTGATAATTCAAGTCTCACAAAAATCATATATTATGAACACAAACAAGAGATCAATAATGAGTGTAGGATTTTAATAACAACAACAAAAAATTAATTCGTGTAATTGAAACAAGTGTAATAGTGTTGGTTTTATGAGATTCTGTAATTTTCAAATTATGAATATAAATTCAAGACAACTCACCCAAATAATAATAATTAAAATGATACCGAAAAGTATCAAATTACTTTCTCACTCTCAGAAGTTAAATTGTTATCTGTCATATGATTCTGCAGTATGCGGAAATTATTCTTTCTACCTTCGTTTATTTTATATATTTTCTTTTATCAAACTTGTTTTGTTAATTGTCTTCGAACAATTATTTCAATATTTCAATTTCTGTTTATTAAAAATTCAGAGTATTGGGTCACAAAATCTGAATTTTCTGAACAGTAAACTTGAAATATAAACAATTGCGAATATATAATAAATACTTTTAGACAAGAAATGGATTCTTCACTTTAACAATTAGAACACTTTATACTTTTCAGATTATCTTCTTGATTTCAAAGAACTTTTATGTACTCGTCGACTTCACAGATTGTGGAATAAACACTTATATTTTTAATAAATAAAACTCGATGAACTTCAACCCTTACTATGGGGAGTAAATGATCCTCTCTACCACTCTTAGTGGGAGTTAAACTTTAATACTCATCCGCTCCTTGGCGGGAAATACATCCGCTCTGCGGGAAAACCAAATTAAGACTCCTCGAATAATAATTTTGTGGCCACGATCACACCCATTTGGTATATAATTTTAGGTGGTGGGAGGGTTGATTTTGCAATCAACACCTCGTTGTTTCCATGCAAGTTTTAGCAAAACTTGCATTTTAATCGTGGCGTGATCGGTTCAACCACCTTTATTAATGGTATACTTTATGTGTTTCCTCATTTTCCTAAAATAATGTGGCAACTCTTAGAGTGTAAGTCCCACAACTTGCGAAATCGACTGTGAATTTAGTTTGAATTATTTCGCAATATGAAGTTCAATAAACTGAACTCATTTGCGAAATAAACTTTGATTTAGAAATTTAAATAACAAAAAAATGAATTTATAAATATTTATTGAATAATTAGAAATATTATTTAACTATTCTAGTGTCTAAAACTTAGTATGTGTGTGTGTTGTGTGTTGTATAGACGTAGGTATTTAATTGACAAATAGTTGTAACGCTGATAATATAAATATTATTTTGAATAAATAATATTTATCGCCTAAAAAAAAAATTAAAAATTACGGAAATCCGTCCGTAACAAATACCCCCCTTTATTCTGGCTGACGTCCCTTGGCAGCCTGTGTAGGTGTGATGTCATCTATTTTTAAATTTTTTTTTTTTTTTTTTTACAAAGAGTCCTTTAGTGGTTTTACATTTTTTTTTTTTAAAATGTTTACAAATTGTCCAAGAACGCAAAATGTTGTATGTTGTAGAATAGCTGAAAAAAAAGAATCTAACGAGAACTGATCTTCCTTTTATAAATATAAATAGTCGTTTCCTCTTTTTTTTGTTGTAGGAAGATTTTTAGGGAAAGGTCAAATAAGTTCTCGTGCTTAAAAAAAAAATGTTGTTTGTACGAGAAAAAAAAATGATAGAAAAAAAACTGATATTATTTTTTTTTATATAAAAAAAAAATGAAAAATAAAGAATAAAATCAAAACCAGCAAATTATTAAATTTCATTATTTTGATTACGTTATAAATTGGTATTTCTGAAAAAAAATATTAGAAATTTTTTTGTTAAGTTTGGTTAATTTAAAATTATTATATAATTATCAATTTTAATAGTTTACTAATTTTGCTCAAGTTAAAAAAAAATAACACATAAATTCAAGTGTATGGAATGTATTTTAAAATAATTAAAAAGAAAAATGAAATATTGACTCTTGATTTCTTTTCCAAAAAAAAAATGTGTCATATATTTCAATACGTATCCATACATATATATATTTTGTTGATGAATGCCCCCAAAAAAAATGAAAATAATTGATAGCTGTTTTGTTTCAAATTATAGATAAAGAAATTAAATAAAAAAAAAATTTATAGCTATATATAAATATATATATAAAATAATAATACAAAAAAAATGTTGGAGATAAAGTATTTAAAAAAAAATGTTCTCCAACCCCTATTCTCTCAACGAAGGGTAGTAAACCACGACACTTTCCAGGAACCATACGAAGCACATAATGCAGATTTTATTAGATGGGAAAATAAAGAAAATTACGATGATCAAGAATTTTCAAATAACATATCAAAGGCGGATAATAAAACATCTTATGAACCTAGAAATGTAGATGACAATAGAAGTCATTTTCCAGCATGTAATACCATTAAACTAGAATCCGAAACGTTACAAATTCATACTATGAACATGTCAAAAAAAGGAAAAGAAGTAAAACAAGAAGAATGCATATCAATAGATAAAAATGAAGATTCTATTGAAAATAATCGCAA